AACAACAAATAGACATGTCTTGGCAAATGTGTGACCAGAGTGCTTCTTGGAAGCAAGGAGAATGAAGCTTCATCTCTCATACTTTGGACATGTTGCTAGGAAAGGCTATTCCTTGGATAGAAATATCACGCTTGGAAAGGCAAAGGGTCAACAAAAGAGATAAAGACATCCTTCCCCCCAATGAGGTGAATTGACATGGTGACTGCAGCAATGGGGCCAAGTGTATTAGAAGTGATCAGGATGGCACAGGATAGGACAGGATTCAGGTCTGTTGGTCATAGGGTCCCTATGAGTTGTACTCAATTCAATGATACCTAACAACAAATGAGAAACCAATGAAGTGAGAGAGACAGCTAGATACTGTGTTACATGGCAAACACATCCTATGTGTTTCTCCATTTTGGTAATTTTGTGGAAAGGTGATAAAGATTATAAGAAAGTAAATATTCTTCAATAATGTCTCCTTTGACACTGTCACAAAAGTAAACAGACAAGTTTAAGATAGAGTTCCATAAAATATGACTGCAGTATTTTTAGTGAAGTTACTGATCACTTTCTCCTAACTTGCGTTAACACCTGCAAGAATATAACTCCACATCTGGTGTACTTTTTGAGCAGAGAGAATACCATTCCTCGTCTTTTTCTCGTTTGCTTCATCTCCTCCTCAGATGCTCCGTGTTAGAGTTCTTTCTGTAATTGTAAAGATTAGCTCCTTTACCGACCCTTTTCATTCTCTTTTTCTAATTTAGAACATCTGTACTAGACTAATCAAAATGACTGCTTTAACTTATTCATTTATGGAAACAAGTCCATACATATTCCAATCTGACTGGGGACCAGAAAAGAGATGCAGAAGGAAAGAAGTATTCTCCAATATACTAACATAGTGGAACTATTAGCTATTTTTAAAGTCTTTCCTTAATTACCACCTAGGTGATACCTCTAAGACAGCAAAGAAGACTACAGAAAATGAAAGAAAGACAAATGAATCTTGACCTTTCTCTCCCTAATGAGAAACTAGAAAGACCATCTGTAACTGTTATCCATAACCAGTCAAAAAGGAAGTTTCACATTCTCTCTCTAAATTTTCTGGATATGAAAAGCCCAAATTAAATGTGTGGTTCTGGAGTAAGAATAAGATCAATAAAATACATTCTCATTCTTCAGTCAGAGGCAGTAATTACAAGTTACCATAGCATTAGTCAAAATGTAAGATACAGCCCCGTTATTGTTAAGTTAGTTCCAAGTCATATTAGCCCTCCATTGGGTCTCTAAGACGAGAACTGTTGCTTGGACATCTCGAAGAGTAAATATGAAGCCATTGCAAGCACTATTGTTTTTTTGACGATGTATTAATGTTACAAATAGGAGGTACGTCTCAGTTGGAAAGGTCGCTTTGGAGTTGGCAAGATGGCTAAGGTAAAGAAAACACCGATTAAATTCAAGCCTATACAGATTTTCAGAATAAAGGCATGTGACTTATTGAGCAAAAGTGGGACTTCTCTATCATCAAGTTGACCTCAATTTATTGTACTGCTCCATTGGGTTTCCAAGGCTGTAAACAGCAATGAGGGATCGTTCACCTTTCTCTCAAGAAGCTGCTAGTGAAGTTGGACAGGCAGAGAGGTGAAGCCTTTGGGTGCAGAGTGACTTGCTAGGGGACTAGTTAGCTGGTTAGGGGACTTTGCTTAGCCGCTCTGCCACCAGAGGTCCCTAAAAGTGATAGTGGTGGTGGTTGTTCAAACTCTTATATGGTTATTCTTGATCATACTATTTCTTGTAATTGTGAGAAAAAATCTACATCTAGAAAACTAAGTATTGTGCTGTGAGAGCAATAGGCAAAAAATAAGGAGATTGCTGTATTCTTCAGAGTTCTGTCACAAGACGATCAGAATCAAAACAAGGGATGCCTGCTATTTCGTTGTAACACAGCAGAAAGTGTGTTGTCTTTTTCTTGTTTTAAATAGTCTACTTGTGTTGAATCAGTGAAGGAATCTGAGAAAGGCAGTATAATGTCGTCGTTAAGAGTCAGATGGCTAATTTTTGAATTATGGCTTTAACTCACTGTTTGAAAAGAAAAAATGTACTGAAACTTGCTTTTGTTTTCATTCTTTTCCTGATAAATAGGCATAATAATGTTACCTGTCTCACAAGATTGCAGTCAAAGTACTCAACAAATGTCAGCTCTTATCAGTTGAGCTACATCATTATAAGAAAGCTTCATGGCCATAAATAAAAATAATACAGAATCCTAAAGATGCATTCCAAATAATTATATATTATTACTGTTTTAAAAATCTATAATTAATTACCAATTGGCAGCATCAGGATGGATGGTGAAGAGATTGAGATTGTACACAGCTTTAGTTTGCTTGGCTCCATAGTCAACAGTCTTGGCACCAGCAGCCAGGAAATTAAAAGGCACATTGCCATGGGAAAGTCTGCTGTTAGGGACCTCTCCAAAGTACTGAAGAGCAATGGTGTCTATCTGGAGACTAAGGTGTGTCTGATACAGGCCATGGTCTTCGCAATCACTTGTTATGCATCAGAGAGTTGGACAATGACCAAGGAGGATAGAAAGAGAATTGATGCCTTTGAGCTGTGGTGCTGGAGAAGAGTATTGAGAATACCATGGACTGCTAGGAAAACAAACAGATTTGTCCTGGAAAGGGTTAAACTGGGTGGCTCCTTGGAGGCAAGGATTCTGAGGCTCCGTCTAACATACTTGGACATGTTGTGAAGAGAGACCGGTCTTTGGAGAGGGACATCGTGCTTGGGAGAGTGGAGGGACAGCGCAGGAGAGGAAGGCCCTCTATGAGGTGGATTGATTCAGTGACTGGGGTAATTGGGATGGGAGTGTCGGAGACAGTGCAATTGGCACAGGACAGAGCGGAGTTTAGGGCTGTTGTACATAGGGTTGCTATGAGTCGCAGGCGACTCGACGGCACATAACAACAACAACAACAATAATTAATTACACTATATATTATATATAATTACTATATATATACATATATATTATTGTTGTTAAATGTTAATATCCACCCATGTAATTGATAGTCTCTGAAAACTTGCTGGAGGATCTGTTATGAATTGGTTCCAACCTGGCAACACATAATATGTATTTGTTGTTTGTGGTTGTTATATATATTGTGTGTTATTATATATTATTAAATATCTTGAAGGTGCACGGTTCAAAACCACCAGCTCTCTGTGGGAGAAGGATGGGCAATCTCCTCCCACATAATTAACTGCCTCTGAAAAACCCACCAGAGAGTCAGCTATGGGTCGGTTCTGACTGTACAGTAAACAACATATTGTATGTTATAAACAAAATATTAATTTACCTAAAAATATTCCTCTAATAGTAATAGTTTTATAGGAAAGAAAGATTAAAGGAGCAAGTGATGGAGTAGAAAGTTTATGAAGAAAGGCAGTTATATGCGACTTATACTTGAAAAATGAAACTGAGAACAGTCGTCCATGATAGCACACAGCTTCCTCAATCTCTGAAGGTTCCTGGAAATAATTCCCAGTAATGTTAAGATTTGCACATGATTTTTTTAGAAGACCAATTAGAATCTTCTGCAAAGTAAAAAGATTCACTATCCATCAGCTCTGGTGGCCTGGTGGCAAGAAGTTGTGCTGCAATCCTGAAGGAATGTGGTTCAAGGCTACCAGCTGCTCCATGAGAGAAGGACGAGCAATCCCCTCCCATGCAATTGACTGACTGAAAACCCACAGGAGGTTCGCTGTGGGTCAGTTACAGCTCTACAGTACACACACAATACCTATCAGTTATAGTCTCAAATTCTAAGCCCCTTTTTTCCCCTTCAGAGATAATTAGGTTTTCTCAAAGATTATAAAGAGAACTCTGGAGGCTCCAATTTCTACAGAGTTGTGCTGCTAACCGAAAGGCCACACCCGCTGGCAATTTGAATCCACCAGCAGTTCCACAGGGGAGGAGATGGACAACCTCCTCTCTTGTGATTTACAGCCTCGGTGACCCAACGGAGGTCGTCTATGTTTTGGTTCCAACTCCACAGCAATGACTGACTGAATATTTATGTTATCATTATAAAATATAGAGATCTATAAGTACATATTTAATATTATGATTTATTATAGTGGCATTAGGAGACCATTGGAAAAAGACAAACTTACTGCAAAGGGTAGCTAGTCAGTGAGAGAGAAAAAGGCCCTAACAAGATGAACAGACATAGTGACAGCAGAAATGGGCTTGAGAATGACAGAGAGAGTGAGGGTGGTGTAACCAGCACAAACTTCTAATCTTATGTTTGTAGCATCACTATGAGTTGTAGTCAACTTGACGGCACCTAATAACATTTAATATTATTCTATTACATCAACATTTAATATTATTCTAGTACATTGTTGTTGTTGTTGTTCCTGTTGTTATAGTAGTTAAGTGCTGTCAAGTTGAAACCAACTCGTACTTGACTGGACAGCAGGTTTTCAGACAGTAATTCATACTGGAATTGATTGCCCCTCTTTTGCCTGCGGAACAGCTGGTGGATTCAAACTGTGTACCTTTGGTTGGCAGCACAGCTGTATATCACTAGGCAACCAGCACTTCCTGTTACATCTGTATATATAGGGCAGGGTCCAGAGCTATTGTACATAGGGTCTATTGTACATGTGTCACAGGTGACTCGACAGCGCGTAAGAGCAACATGTAAAAAGTGACCCAACCTTGCCACACTTGGATGTGGTTTTCCTGAGTTTTACTTGACACTTGTCTGAATGCTGGGTGTGTTGTCTCTTTTCTAAGGCTGTGTCCTCCTAAGTAGTACTGAATCTCTCAGTGCCTCAGTTCAGTCACAGATAAAATGAATATAAAATCCCTGCCCTTCTTGATCCTTAGAACTATTTTAAGAAACAAAGGTGAAATGCAAGTGACCATTACTTGAAATCTTTGTTATAAACTAAAATTTATCTCTGTCATGTCCGTATCCAAACTCTGTAGGCGACAGGGACAGATGGAGATGAGGAATGACTCAGCTGTGAGCGAATTTCTCCTGATAGGACTTTCGCAGTTCCCCAAGCTCAGGCTTTCTCTCTCCGTGCTCTGCCTCCTCATGTACCTGGTAATCCTAGTGGGAAACAGTCTCCTCATTGTCATCAGCATTTTGGATTCCAGGCTTCATACCCCCATGTACTTCTTCCTTGGAAACCTTTCCTTTTTGGACATCTGTTACACAACCTCATGGGTTCCTACAATGCTTGTCGTCTTTCTATCTGACAGAAAGTCCATCTCATTCACTGGCTGTGCTCTTCAGATGGTCATCTCTCTTGGCTTGGGATCCACTGAATGCGTCCTTCTGGCTGTGATGGCTTATGATAGATATGTGGCCATCTGCAACCCTCTGAGATACTCTGTCATCATGAGCAGGGTGCTCTGTGTGCACATGGCCGTGTGGTCCTGGGTCACAGGCTGTCTGTTCTCCCTGTTACAAACGGTCCTAACAATGGTGTTGCCATTCTGTGGGAACAATGTGATTGATCATATTACCTGTGAGATCCTGGCTCTTCTGAAACTGGTCTGTTCAGATATAACCATCAATGTACTTATCATGACAGTGGCAAGTATTGTTCTGTTGATGCTTCCTCTGCTGCTAATTTTCATCTCCTATGTCTTTATTCTCTCTTCCATACTGAGTATTAATTCTGCTGAAGGAAGAAAGAAAGCCTTTTCCACCTGTTCTGCTCACCTGACAGTTGTCATCTTATTCTATGGTTCAGCCCTTTTTATGTACATGAAGCCCAAGTCAAAAGATACAAAGACATCTGATGAGATCATTGTGTTGTTTTATGGAGTGGTGACCCCAATGATGAACCCAATCATCTACAGCCTGAGAAATAAGGAAGTGAAAGAAGCTGTGAAGAAAGTTCTGAGCAAATATTTCCATTTATGGGAAATGTGAATAGTCATAAGACATGTGATATCCTCATTGAGAAAGAAGATCAGGTCTTCTACAATCACAGAAGTCATAGAAGTTTGTATGCTTGCAAAGTCTAAAATGGGAAATTTATTTTCAGTACAGTATACTTAACATAAACTTTTTGAGTTTAGCCTTACCTGCTAGGCTTCCAATTAGAAACCAATCTGCCCTCTCTCTCACTCCTCCCCTCTCCCTCTCTCTCCTGTCCCCTCTCCTTCATTCTTTCTCTCTCCCTCCCCTCTCCCTCCTTCTCCTCTTCCCCTCCCTCTCTACTCCCTTTCAATCAATCTCTCTCTCTCTCTCTGAATCTCCCACTCTTTACCCTCCTTTAACCCCTCCTCCTTCTGTATATATGCTTTTCCTCCTTCCCTATCACTTCGTTGCCTCCTTCTTCAGTGTGTGTAAAGTATCTGAGACTAGACTCAGTTCATGCTTGTGCTGGATGAGAAATACTCAACCCACTGGATACAAAGGTGAGCCTTCAATAAAGCCCTTGGCAAAGAAAACAGGACATAAATCTTCTGGTCATAATGATTTGTGTTGTACAATGAGTGACCTCAATGAGGTTAATCACATGTAATCACAAAGGTGTTACCTCGGGGTAACCACCTAGTCTCTAAGAGGAATAAATAATAGTCTTTCTCCAAGGGTCTCTAAATTGCTGTCTTGTGTTAAGCATTGGACAGCTTCACTGGGAGGAAAGGAGAGTTGACACTAAAAGCAGATCTGATGATGACACTGTAATTCCTGAATCCAATTACGACTAAAGCTAAAATAAAAACTAGAGTTTTATTCACAAATGTCAAATTAACAGCTTATTAAAAGCAAAAAAACTCAAGTTATACTTCACCACTTACAACCATATACGTCTTAGCTAATATATTACCTTGCCTCGCTTCGCCTTCCTTCATTTGTAATTTAGAGACAAAAATTACCAAAGGCTGGAAAGCTTGAGTCCACAGACAACATAACCTTAAGTCATTCCTGCCAATAATGAAATTATTTTTTTAATGTTGAGCAGCCAAAAAGTCATGGTTTATTATATCTGAAGAAGTTTCATAATTCAAACACAACCAAACTGTACAGTTTACAATCACATTCTATTTGTAAACAGTTAAAAGCCACTGACTTCTTTTGCATCTTAGGACACAAACAGAATCAAGGCAATGAAATGATGGCAAATTCTGCACTGTTAAAATTTTTACCCTTGTTTAGTCTCTCTTCTTTGACTAAGCAAGCATTATAATACCACTTGTGGGCAAAAAAAGGGGGGGGAGTGAATGAAGTTTTAAAAATGGTGTAACTCGTTAAGTTTTGCAACAACATTTAAAATTTTTTTTTCTTTATACAACAAACGACTCTGTAAGCCCAACACCTTGGTTACAGTATGCATAGTTACTGATTTCGACTTTAATGTACAACAGTTAAACATTAACACAGTCACAAGAGAGCAAAAACATATAGAGCCACTTGATGGGATTACAAAAAAATTATTACCTATTGATTATTAGCAAACCATCATTAATCACTAATAAAAAGACAGCATCTGAAAGCAGAATGTCAAACTCCAGCTTTAAGCGTTTCTCTTTTCTTTATTTTTTTGGCAGAGAAAATTTTTTTAACAGAGCAATACGTAGTATCAGTGCTAAAAGTTGGGGTTTTACATTTATTCCTATAAGAAACTACAAGGAAGTGGGGGGGGTTTCCTGTGTGTGTTTTTTTTTTTACTGGGGAACTGGTTTTCCTGAGAACCATGCTCTTTGATTTAGGACAGGAATAGAAAACAAAAGAACATGGCCAAATGCTGCTCCTTTTCCCAGAGATAGAAAGCATCTTTTAACTCATTCTCCACTTTTTTTTCTTTCTTTTAATTTTTTTTTTTTAAATGATGGAAGAGTAAACATTTTTTTCTCAAAAAACAAACAAAAAAATCTGTAAACAAGAAGGTTCAACGTAGGAACCTTCAAAACAAAATGGAAAGCCTATTCAAAGTGCAGGGACCGTCCTGGTGGCAGGTGGGCTGCAAGTCACAGCTGTGGCCACAGTTTTACAAACTGCAGAGCAAAATTCTTTAGTTTTACATCAATAATGAAATTATTAACCTCTGCTCTATTTGACTGCAGACACTCCATGCGTGTCCCTTAATTATTTCTTTATTTTTTAAAATATTTAATAGCCATGTTGTTGTTGTTGTTGTTGTGTGCCAGCTAGTCGCATACAACTCATAGCAACCCTGTGTACAAGAGCCCTAAATGCTGCTCTATCCTGTGCCAACCTCACCGTCTTTTTTTCTTTCTTTCTGCCAGATCATTTTTCTCTCATTTTTTTCCCCTCCTCAGTTATGGTGTTTATAAGGGAAGGCAAAAGGCTATATTCAGTTTACCAGCAGGACGCAATCCCTCAGTGAGGACAGCTTCTGAAATGTTTTCACAGGCACCTCAGGCCTCAGCCTCACAGCTTTAGATCAGTATTACAAAATTCTGGGTCCTGCCAATGCATGCACAGATGTATGGATAAGCAAAACAGGGCTGCTGGCTTGAGGAGTCAGGAGTCACAAGGACGCCAGGTCTTTTGATGTGGCCCCATGTGGGAGCTAAGGCTGAGTGAAGGGACCAGCCAGTCTGGGAGCAGAAAGATATGTAAACACCTGAGTTTGTAGCTGATGCCCATTTGACCTTGCCATCAATGGCTGGGAATGAGTTGACCAGAACCCAGAAGAGAAGATAGCCATGATGTGAGCTAGTGTTGATGACTGTGCCCTGATGGTTTGCTCTGGACTGGATTTTGCTTATGGACGAAGATTCTCAGAGTTTCCAAGTTGAAAGAAGATTCTTCAGCAAAAGGGACAGTCTTTTTGCCTTAGAGTACTGGTCTGATAGAGATGGGCAAGTGAGAAATTGTCTCCTTCATAAAGAGATATCACAGCATATGGCATAAAGCAGCTGGCTGACAACATAGTTAGAAATATAATTATTAGTAAGATGATTATAAAGGGAAAGTTAATTCCTCAAATAGCAAAGTTAATGACTAAAAAAGCCAGGGAATGATCTGTGGTTCCAAGAGTTCATTGTTTAAAATTACTTCATTGCCATTGAGTTTGTCTTTGCCATATGGATGGGCAGGTACATGCAAATGGGGTGTGTTGGTCTATTCACAAGAGTACTGACGAATCTTGCCATTATATTTTGTGGATTCAGCAGCAGAAATTGAGAATCTCACTATCAGTAAAGAATTGGATAACCCAGAGTGCAGAGCAGCAAATCAGAAACCCCACATGAGACAGAGCTGATCTTGGGACAGCTGGCCCACAGAATCAGAGCAGGGAGCCATCATCCCCAATTATTTCAGGCATAAATTTACATTTTTCTAATTCTTATTCCCATTGCTTTTACTCCAGACAGATGCTCTGCAATTTTCACCATTCCATTCTGTGTTTGAATCCATATATTTATATTTTAGATCATTATAATATACTTTTCATACAATATTTACTACTTTTTAATAGATATTGCTTTTTAGTAAAATATAGTCACTGTAACTGTTTTACATGCTAATTTACATGTTGTTTGTTGTTTTTATGTGTCATCAAGTCGCTTGCAACTCATAGCAACCCTATGTACAAGAGCTCTAAACGCTGTTCTATCCTGTGCCAACCTAGCCATCGCAAACGCACTTATTCCCACCACTCCAGTCACAGAATCGATCCATCTCACCAAAGGTCTTCCTCTCCTTCGCCGCCTCTCCACTCTGCCAAACATGAGGTCCCTCTCCAACGATCAGTCCCTCCTTGCAACATGCCCGAAGTATGTCAGATGAAGCTTCAGAATCCTTGACTCCAAGGAGGATTCCAGCTTCACCTTCTCCAGGACAAACCTATTTGTTCTCCTAGCAGTCCATGGTATGTTCAATACTCTTCTCCAGCACCACAGGTCAAAGGCATCAATTCTCTTTCTATCATCCCTAGTCACTGTCCAACTCTCCGATGCATAGCACGGATCAAGCGCACTTTAGTCTCGAGCCTGACGTAGTTGCTCTTCAGTACTCTTGAGAGGTCCCTCACAGCTGACTTTCCCAATGCAATTCATCTCATGATTTCCTGGCTGCTGTTACCAAGAGTAGTCAAAACATTCACTCAGTGCCATTTTCTGGAGGAACTGCTAGTGATTTTAATGCGAGGGACAAGTCAAGCTATTGGTTAAAAGTACAAACGCACTGAGGACTATCCCACCAGAGTTTCATTTCCATAAAAGTTTTTGCATATCAGATTTTATCTGCTCTGGGAGCCAAAACTATGACTGAACTACATCGTGAGGAGTTGATCTGAAACAGCTATACATTGTGAAATCCTTGGACTATATTGTTGAGCTCAAAATATCACAAATAAAACAATCCCTAATCTTCAAAATCATGACTCATAAATATAGATTTTTTGCAGTATAACAAGCATTTCAGATTTAACATGTCCACAACAAAGCTCTTCATTCCCCAGTTCCTATGCCAATTTTTCTGAAGTCTTTCCTAATTTAGGAAGTAGCTAATTGCATACGAACAATCAACCCACCAGCAAAATCTACCAAATCCATCTTCAAAATTACTCTGAAACTTATCACTTCCATGACTACCACCTTATTTAAGCCACTACCATTGAATCTAGACTACTGTAATGATTTTCTATAATAATTAATCATATCCTTGCTTCCATTTTTGTCCTACAATCTATTGTCAACATAACTGATAGTATGTTGTTTAAATACATAAATCATATCCTAAATAAGGACTTGACGTGCTTGCCGCAGAAGGTTTAAAACTACAGCCTTCAATATGGATTACTTCTCAGTATCAAGAAAACATAAATCTTCACCACCTGGCCAATAGGTAAATCATGATAGATGGAGAAAAGATTGAAATTATCAATCATTTCATCTTACTTGGATCCGGAATCATCATCCTGTACCAGCAGTCAAGAAATAAGGAGGTGTATC